GTCTGTTAGGTCGGTGACCCCCTGGACTTCAGTCTGTGGTGTCCACTCCTCATGTGATATCTCGTCGCAATAAATTCCCGCTTGCTGCTGATTGGGTCGTCGCCGTCGATGCGTTCGGCGCCGCCCGCCGTGTCGCGGCCGTCCGCGGCCTGTATGCAAAGGTTGCTGCCGTCGACGCACGTGGTAGTTTCCTCTCTGATACTGCTACCTCGCTCGTGAGAGCCTCGCGCGCTGCTGCCGCGCTGCTTTTCCCCGGCGGCCGCGCGTTTGGCGGCGGCAGTGGCGTTTTGGGCTCGGCGCGGGCATCGGCAGCGCCGTGAGGCGCTGTCTGGTGACCGCTCTGTCTCGTAGGAGTGGGTGGACGATTCCCCCCGTGGGCGATCCCGCCGCGGGTTTCCCAGCTGCCATGGTCTCTGGCGAGGCGATCGTGGCCGCCGGCGCCTCTGGGGGCCCAGCCTTGGCAAGGGCGCCCCCGCGACTTTGGCGGCGGTCCTGGGGGTGGCGGAGCCGCGCGCGCGGGGCGCGGCTATCGGCTGGGGGCTCTGCCGCCTTGGCAATGGCAAAGTCGCCCCTGGCAATTTTGCCCCATCCTGTGCGCTGGACTTCGCAATGCCATTTGATGGGCAACAGAACCATGACGATTTGCGTCTTGGTGGCGCCGGGTGGCTTGATGCCCGCGATGTGGTACCTCGCCTTTTCGAGTGCCGCGATGCTTCCTCGCATCCCCAAACGACTTGTTTGGATCGGCCGCTTTTGTCCGCGCGCGTGGCCCCGCATGCCCTGCACTTGTTGAGGTGTCGTGTTCTTCCTGCAACGCGGTTTGGTGCCCGCCTGGGCGCCGCGCAATGATGTGCTTAGTCGCTAGGCTGGGGCCCAGTGGTGCCGCGGTAGCTAATGTCAAACTGGATACTTCCTTGTCCCGAGGCGCCGAGAATCATGGACACGTCAGCTGGTTTGATCCCAAAAGTAGCCGTCAACTTACGCTTGCCTACCTGGGCGGCCTGGGAGTTGCATGGCTTCTTCGACTTGAACGGTGCGGAAGTGGGGCGCGAACGAAGCTGTGACCGCGTCGGTGAGCTCGTCGTCGGGCTGTTGGCGTGAGACGCCCCGTGCGGCAGATTCGTGGAGTTCTTTGGCCTTCTATTGGGCTGTGCCTGATCCGTCTGAGTAGCAGTTGCCGTGGATGGGTGCTGTTCCAGAGAAGTTGGCCGCGACCAATTCTTCAAGCGCGGGCGTGGCGGCAATGGCGTCTGCCTCGCAGATAGCTGCGCGGATCCATGCGATTTTTCCGCTGGGTCGATGGTGGCTCAGACAAACTTCTGGCGGCATTTATCATCTTTTCATTCTAGCTCCTAGCTGCTGGACGGTCCCTTGGATGCTCCTTGGCTTTGGTTTGGTAGCCTTGGCCGCGCGGCGGGGGACTGGTATTGAGAACCCTTCCTTGGTAGTTGGTGCTGGTGGGTCCCCGGACGTCACGCACTGGAGGTGTTTCCTGTGTGTGAATATGTTTTAGTAGGCAGTCGCCTTCCTCTAATGTGTGAAATGAGATGCTGCTGGTGTTCGACGTCCCGTCGCCCTCGCTGACGGGCGCGGTGGGACGTCCCAGTTTCAAGTGTCGAAGCTGGTAGGAGGGCCATGTCCTTGCCCTGGTGGGCATCGGTGTCGACCGTGGCTCCTAGTGGGCCGCGCTCTGAAACACTACTGTGTGTGAGTGCGTAGTGCATCATGGTGTTGCTGATTTAGTTTGCCTGCACAACGTCGTTAGCTCGCTCCTGGGCCTCGCGTTGGTCGGATCGGTGTTTTTTTGTGTGACGAGATCGGTGTGGCGCGCGTGGGCAAGTTCGTTGTATGCAGCGATTGCTGGGTCGACACCACCACTGCTTTGCAGGGTGGCGGCGCAGGCGTCGTTTCGGGACACATTGCTGTCGGGTGCGGTAGCCTCTCGGCGGCCTTTGCCTGGTGGGTTGGGTTGCCGTGGTGCAGGGGGGCGCGCAGCGAGGGCCTTCCAGAGCCATGGCGCGCGCGTGCGGATGCTGAAGGGTTTTCCCACGAATCAATCGCACGTTGTGTTGGCGTTTGTCCAAGTCTCGCGATGCGATTAACAGATGTACTGGGTGCTCCGCGTCATGGTTGCACGCTGGGCCCGGTGCTCTCGAGCCGGGGCTCGACGAGGCAAAGAAAAAGGAGGAGGGAGGTGGTCAGGGGAGAGAGGGGTCAGGGGATGGGGGTAGGAGGCAAGGGAACATGAGAATGAACACGCAAAGTTGCCAAATTAACAATTGTACCAAATGCCGTAACCCCCTCCTCTTCTTTCTGTCCCCCCCCCCTCCCCATCCACCTCTATTCCTCCCTCTCCGCTTCCTCCCTAGTTGCCGACGTCGGCGTCGGCGTTGCTTTCTTTCTCCTCCTCCACCCCCTCCTCCTCCTTCCTTCCTTCATTCGTCCCCTCCTTCCTTCCCTCGTTCTTTCCTTCTTTCTCTTCCTTCCTCTTCTCGTCGCCGTTCTCCCGCAAACCTTTTTTCGGGCAGAGCGGGCTGGGCGTTTCACCGGAAAGTTCCCCGCCATTCGGGACCCTGGATCTTGCGCGCTGCACGCGCTTCGCCGGCGGAGGGCGGGCCACTGTCAAACAGCGGCTCTCGTCTGAGCGCCGGGGACCACTCGCGTGAAACACGTCGAGACGAGCTTCACGGACGGAGGGGGGGCGTTTCCACTTCCAGAATGTGGTTGTCGCCTTGGCGCCGCGCGCATCTGTCCAAACAGCCCGCAATAGCTCGGCGGATGAAGGGCGGGCGGTTTTCGAAGTGAAGCGCGCGCCTGAGCGCTGCGATCATTGGCCTGTCAAGGTTGCAAGAGCTTCACGGATGGAGGGCAGGTAGTTGTCGAAACGTGGCTCCCGCATAGAAGTCGCAAGCATGCGGGTTTCAAACTGCAGGAGCTTCACAGGCTTAAGGCGGTTCGTTTTCAAAATGTGGCTTTCGCGTTGGCGCCGCCCGCATTCGACTGAACAGTTCGTAAGAGTGTCACGGATGGAGGGCGGCTCCTTTTCAGAATGTGGCTCTCGCCTCAGCGCCGCGCGCACTGGCGCTGAACGTTTGCAGAAGTTTCATGGATTCGGGGCGGTTCTTTTTCAAAATATGGCTCCCGCCGTGGCGCCGCGCGCATGCGTCGTAACGGTTTGCAGGAGCTGCGCAGCCAGAGGATGGCTACGTTTCCGAGTGTGGCTCCCCGCCTTCTCGCCGCGCGCATTCGCCTCGAATGTTCGCAAGGGCTGAACGGATGGAGGGCGGGCTGTCTTCACAAGGTGGCTCTCGCCTGCGCACCCCCGCCGACCTCCTGAAACTGTGCACGAGCGTCACGGACGGAGGGCGGCTCCTCGTCAAACTGCGGTTCTGGCCCCAGCGCCGCGCGCACTCGTCTGAGAAGTCGGCGAGAGCCTCGCGGATGGAGGGCGGGTGACTTTCAGCATGCGGCTCTCGCCCTTGCGCCGCGCGCAGTTGTTGACAGCTCGCAGGGGCTTCACGGATGGCGGGCGGTTCCTTTTCAAGATGTGGCTCTCGCATTCGCGCCGCGCACATTCGTCTACAAAGCGAGCAAGGATTTCATGGATGGAGGGCGGTTCGTTTTCGACACGCTGCCCTCGCCATGGCGCCGCGCACATTCGTCTTCACAATTTACAACGTTTAGCGGGTTCTTATGGTTGTCGTCCCAAGAACAGCGTCCTGGTACAATTTGGATCGTCAACTCGCCACAACAACGTTGATTCACACTGCTGAATTCCCAAAGATGGTACTTTGGCACGATGCAGGATCGTCAGGGCGCAACCGTGAATTTGAATCGCGGCGTTGAAATTCAAGGAGTGGTGCTCTGGCACGACTGAAACTTCTCAGGCTTTTGCCTTCTACCAGGGTGCCTCGAGCAGTGGGACACTCATGTAGAGACTTATGAGGGAAGAAATTGGAGGGATGGTTCTTGCAAGATCGTTGATGCGTCCTGAGTTTACACTGGTCCTCCTTCATCCCTCTTCCCGATAGGATCACCCCTCCCTGTCGCACCCCGGAACGGGTCGGTAGGGCCAGCTGGGCGTTTCGCCTGACAATTCCTCACCATGTCTGATCCTGAAGCTTGAGACAGTTTCACGAATGGGGGGCGGGCCGTTTCCAAAATATGGTTCTCGCCGGAGCGCCGTGCGCTTTCGTCTTTGTTCTCGCCAGCGTTTCACGGACGGAGGGCGGGTGGTGTTCAGAATGCGGCTGTCGCCTCAGCGCTGCGCTCGATCGTCTTGAATGATTGCAAGAAGTCGCGGATGAAAGGCGGATTGTTTTCAAAATGTGGCTCTCGCCCTAGCGCCGCACACTTCCGTCGCAAAGTATGCAGGATGTTTCACGGATGGAGGGCGCGTGGTTTTCAACATGTGGCTCTCGCCTCAACGCCGCGCACAAAATTCGCAAGAATATTCACATATGGAGGGCCGGTCCTTTTCAAAAATGTGGCTCTCGCCTGAGTGTCGCGCGCATTGGTCGTAAAGCTTTGCACGAGCTTCACGGTTAAAGGGCGGTTTCTTTTCGAGAGGTGGCTCTCGCCTCAGCCCCGCGCACATTCGTCTTACCAGTTTACAGCAGTTTCGAACATTCTTAAGGTTGACGTCCCAACAATGAAATGTTTTGTCTGATTTATGACTGTCAGGGTGCGGCAATCACTTTGCTTCGTGGTGTGACGTCCCAGAAACGGTGTTCTCGCACAAATTCGGAACGTTAGGTCGCAACCGTAGAATTAATTCGCGGCGCTGACGTCCCAAGATTGGTGTTTTGCCGCGGTTGAAAAATTTCAACGGGTTGTCTTTCAACGGGGCTCTTCCCGCAGTCCCGATGGATCCTCATAGGAGCCTGTGAAAGGGGAACTTGGAGGAGGGTTTATTGCAACATCGTTGATGGTTCTTCGGTTTGCACTGGCCGTCATCCTTCTCCTCCTCATCCTCGTCTCTTCCCTTCTGGGCCCCTGGCGAGGTCGACGAGGGTGAAGACCGCCATGAGCGTCATCATCTTCCCCAAGCGGCGCAGCAGCGTCAGCAGTCCCGGCTGCTGCGTCCTCGGCCGCCGCCGCCGCCGAAGACGACGACGACGACGACGTCGGCGACGACGACGACGACGACGACGACGACGACGACGACCCATCCCCCCTCCCTCCCTCCCTCCTCCTCCTCCTCATCCCCCTCCCTCCCTCCCTCTTCGTTTTTCCAGCCCTCTCTTCTCTCCCCTCCTACCCGTGGTCGTCGTCGTTCTCCTCCTCCTACTCTTCCTTCTTTTCTCCCCCTCTCCCTCCCTCCACGCGCGGGGACGTCCGGAGGTGAGGAGGAGGATCCGGAGGAAGAGGAGGAAGAGCGGGATGGGGGAGAGGAGAAGGAGCAAGAGCGGGAGGGAGGGAAGGAGGGGGAACACCGAATGTAGAAGAGGCGGAAGGGGGACTGGGAGGCGCGTGAGGTGTGTGTGTGTGTGTGTGCGTGCGTGCGTGCGTGCGTGCGTGCGTGTGTGTGTGTGTGTGTGTGTGCGTGTGTGTGCGTGTGTGTGTGTGTGTGCGTGTGTGAATGTTGCGACCGCGTGCAACACCAAATCCGCCGACCCCTTGTGGATCTCTGGGCGTGTGAGATTCGTCGCTCCTGTAATCACCCCCCAGAACCTCGAAACCGGAAATTTGACCCCCCGCAGGTCTCCCACGACCTCCTGACGAACTCACCAGGTGGGGGGGTCCGCCCTCCACGAATGGGTCCGTCCCCAGGGCCCTGTTGCTGCCCCCAAATGGCCCCCGAAAGCTCCAAGACACCTTCGAAAACCTCCTGACACCCAAGATGGCCGCCAAGGCGGCGCAAGAGGCACCCGAGAAACCCACAAGAGGCCTCCAAGACACTTCAGAAGAGGGCCCCAAGAGGCCCAAATCGTCAAATTCTCATGGGGAATGTACATTTCTAGCATGCGCGACTTTTCCACTCTCCGACGCTCCACGACGGCCCAAGAAACCCCCACAACTGCCCCAAGACGGCCTAAGAGTTCCCAAAAACGCCCCAAGACAGCCCACGAAGGTCCCAAGATGGCCCAGAAGGCGCCCAAGACGGCCCTACCCAGGAGGCCCCAAGACGACTCCAAAGAGAGCTCAACACTGCCCCCCAGAGGCTTTTCTGAGGCATCCCACGACATCCAAACGAACATGTAAGAAACCTTTGACCCACAATCTGGGCACGGTGGCGGAATGGGCCAAAGGCCTTTAAGATCCGCCGCCCCCTTTAAGGGGTGCCTGGCGTGCCAGACCATATGGGTCTTGGTTTTGTTTTTTGTTCGAAAAGAACTCTCCCAATGGGTTTCGGCCCGACCCGCCGGCCATCCGTAGATCGCCCAATTCCCGGAAAAATCCTCCTAGACGGCTCAAGATGGCCTCCAAGATGGCCACGTTGGCCCAAGATGGCCTCCACGATGGTCTAAGATGGCCTCCAAGTCCGCCCAAGATGCTCCAAGACTGCCTCCAAGATGACCCAAGAGAGTCCAAGACGGCCCAAGAGGCCCCCCAGATGCCTCCCAGACGGCCCAAGAGGCCTTCAAGACGTCCTCCAGGAGGGCCCGAAGAGGCCAAAATCATTGATGTTCCGCAGGTTTTTGAAGGATTTGGGAATTTGCTTCTTCTCGGCATTCCGACGGCTCAAGACGGCCCAAGAGGCCCCCAAGATCGCCCAAGAGGCCTCCAAGAGGGCCCCATGACGGCCCAAGTGGCCTCCAAGACGGCCCCAAGAGGGCCCAAGAGGCATCCAAAACGCCCAAGATGGCCTCCAAGACGCCCAAGATGGCCAGAAAGGCCCCCAAGACGGCTCCCGACGGCGTCAGACGTGCCAGGAACCCACCAGGATGGCCGAAGTTGGCTCGAAGCTGGCCCAAGACGGCCCAAGAGGCTCCCAAGAGGGCCTCCAGGAAGGCCAGAAGAGGCCAAAAACACTGATTGTCCTTAGGTTGTTGACGGATTTTGACATTTCCAAGTTTTCGGCCTTCCGACGGCCCGAGACGGCCCAAGAGCCCCCAAAGATCGCCGAAAGATCACCCAAGAGGCCTCCAAGATGGCCCCAGAACGGCCCAAGAGCGCCCCAAGACGGCCCCCAAGACGGCACAGGAGGCCTTTAAGACGCCCAAGGTGACCTCCAAGACGGCCCTGGAACATTCCAAGAGGGACCCAAATCGGCCCATAGAGGCCCCCCAAACGGCTTCCGACGGCGTCAGACGGACCAGGAGCCCACCAAGACGGCCGAACATGACCCTAAGATGGCCCAAGAGGCCTCCAAGAGGGCCTCCAGGAAGGCCCGAAAAGGCCAAAATCATTGATTTGCCATGGGTTCTTGAAGGATTGTGGCATTTGCTTCTTCTCGGCATTCCGACGACCCGAGATGGCCCAAATGCCCACAAAGATCGCCCAAGAGGCCCAAGACACTGCCCCAAGAGGCCCCCAAGACGGCCCAAGAGGTCTCCAAGACGCTCAAGATAGCCTCCAAGACGGCCCAAGAGCCCTCCAAGACGTCCTCCAAGAAGGCCCGAAAGGGTCAGAATGGCCTCCAGACGGCCAAGATGACCTTAAGATGCCCACGTGTTCCCCGAAGGCTTTCCAAACCGATTCGGAGAACACGTGGTCCGATAGCTTGGCAGGCCACTGGCCACAACCTTCGGCCACATAGGCGCTTCCAAAAAGGCAGGGGGCGGCGGTGATTCGCCGTAGGCGTCTTCGATCCGCTGCCCCCTGTTGCTTGCAAGGGGGGTGCCTGGCTTGCCAAATCTTATCGTTTTTGGTTTCGGTTCTCTTTCCCAAAGAAATCATCCCCGGGCCTCGGCCCGTCCCGCCAAAATCACCGAAGGATTGCCCAGACCCGGCTCCAAAGGTTGTTTCCTGCTCCAGGCGGCTCCAAGACGGCCCAAGATGGCCTCCAAGACGCCGAAAATGGCCTCCAAGACGGCAAAGATGGCCCCAAGGTGCCTCCAAGACGGCCCAAGATGCACCCAAGACGGCCTGGGATGGCCTCTAGATGGCCTAAGACGGCCCAAGAGGCCTCCAAGACGGCCTAAGAGGCCTCCGAGAGGTCCTCCAGGAGGGTCCCAAGAGGGCAAAATCATTGATTTCCCTTAAGAAAAAAAAAAAAAAACGATTTTGGTATTTGCGCCTTTTCGGCTTTCCGACGGCCCAAGGCGGCCCAGGAGGCCCCCAGGCTCGCCCCAAGATCGCCCACGCGGCCTCCAAAATGGCCCCACGACGGCCCAAGAGGCTCCCAAGACCGGCCGAAAGACCTCCAAGACGCCCAAGATGGCCTCCAAGACGGCCCCGAAGCGCCCCAAGAGGGCCCCAAGCTGGTTCAGAGAGGCCCCCAAGACGGCTCCCGACGGCGTAGACATGCCAGGAGCCTACCAAGATGGCCGAAGTTGGCTCGAAGCTGGCCCAAGAGGCCTCCAAGAGGGCCTCCAGGAAGGCCAGAAGAGGCCCCAAACACTTACTTTCATTAGGTTTTTGAAGGATTTTGACATTTGCTTCGGTTCGGCCTTCCGACGGCCCGAGACGGCCCAAGAGCTCCCAAAGATTGCCCAATAGGCCTCCAAGATGGCGCCAGAACGGCCCAAGAGGCCCCCAAGACAGCCAGGCCCCCAAGACGGCACAGGAGGCGTTTAAGACGCCCGAGATGGCCTCCAAGACGGCCCTGGAACATGCCAAGAGGGCCCCAAGTCGGCCCAAGAAGGCTGCCCAAACGGCTTCCGACTGCGTCAGACGGGCCAGGAGCCCACCAAGACGGCCGAACATGGCCCAAGACGGCCCAAGAGGCCTGCAAGAGGGCCTCCAGGAAGGCCCAAATAATTGATTTCCAATTAGTTGTTGCAGGATTGTGGCATTTGCTATTGTTCGGCCTTCCGACGGCCCGAGGCGGCCCAAGTACCTCCAAAGATCGCCCAAGAGGCCCAAGACGGCCCCATGAGGCCCCCAAGACGGCCCAAGAGGCCTCCAACACGCTCAAGATGGCCTCCAAGACGGCCCAAGAGCCCTCCAAGACGTCCTCCAAGAAGGCCCGAGAAAGGGTCAAAATGGCCTCCAGACGGCCAAGATGGCCTTCAAGATGCCCACGTGTTCCCCGAAGGCTTTCTAAACAGACTCGGGGAACACAGGGTCCGATAGTTTGGCAAGTCTGGCCCCTACGTTCGGCCACATAGGCGCTTCCAAAAAGGCAGGGTGCGGCGGTGATTCGCCGTAGGCGTCTTCGATCCGCCGCGAGCTGTGCTTGTCACAAGGGTGCTCGGCGTGCCAGACGCTACAATTTTTGGTTTTGGCGATTAAAAAACTCTCCCCTGGGGGTGCGGCCCGTCCCGGCGACCCCCCGGAAGGGACCGCAAACTATCGCAAGAGGTGGTTGCAAAGGTTTTTCCTGCTGCAGACGGCTCCAAGATGGCCTCCAAGATGCCTCCAAGATGGCCCAAGAGGGTCCAAGATACGTCCAAGTCCGCCCAATAAGCATCCAAGACGGCCCAAGACTGTCCAAGAGGTGCCCAAAAGGCCTCCATCCAATACGGCCCTAGAAGACTCCGAGAGGTCCTCCAGGAGGTCCCCGAGAGGTTAAACTCATTGAGTGTCCTTAGGTTTTGAAGGATTGTCGTAATCTTTTACAGCCTTCCGACGACCCAAGACAACTCACGAGGCCCCCAAGATGGCCCCCAGAGCGCTCAGGAGGCCTCCAAGATGGCCTCATGAGGACTTCCCAAGATGCCCCCAAGACGGCCCCAAGAGGACCCGAAGACGGCGCAAGAGGCCTCTAAGGCGCCCCAAGAAGCCTCCAAGACGGCCCTGCAGCACCCCAAGAGGGCCCCAAGTCGGCCCAGGGAGGCCCCCGAAACGGCCTCCAATGGCGTCAGACGGCCAGGAGCCCAACAAGACGGCCCAAGACGGCTCTAAAATGGCCGAGGAGGCCTCCAACAGGGCCCCCCAGGAAGGACCGAAGAAACCCCAAACACAGAGTTTCCGTAAGTTTTTGCAGGATTTGAGTTTTTCTTCTTTTCGGTCTTCCGACGGCCCGAGACGGCCCAAGATCGCCCCAAGAAGCCTCCAAGATAAGAAGGCGGCGGGAGGTGTCCAAGATACCACCCGCGATGATAAACAAAAGCAGACTAAAACTGCTCCCCCACTCCTTCCCCCCCCGCCCCGCGGCCCGCCTCCAGCACCCAGCTCGGGGGCGAGGCGCCCGTGAGGCCGTGGCGGGCGAGGAGGGGCCCTCGGCCCAGAGGAACGCGCGGGCCTGGGGCCTACCAAGGATCGCCCTGGCGTGGCCCAGGAGGTCCCCAGGGCCAGGGCGCTCAAGGACACTGACACTCCAACCCTTATATCGGGTCAGCCACCTCGGGAAAAGGCCAACGAGCAACCTTGAACGCCGCTGCCTCAGCCCCGACCCAGCGCTGTGCCCGTGGCACACCTTATCACTGAGCCCGCGGACCCCGCCCCACGCATAGGCTCCGCGCGACGCGCGGCAGATCAGCCGTGGGGCGGTCACCACGGACGCTCCAGTACTGTCAAAAACTCTACAGACTCGCAACTGGTGCTGAAACAGGTCCAAGAGGATGGCTAGCTCGGGGCCACAGGGCCCAGCGTCCGCCACCGCAGAGAGCACCGCACCAAACCGCACACTTACGGGAGGCATGGGGCGCTCACGAGGGCCCTCACGCCTGGACCGAGCCACGAGGCCCTTGTCAGGCAGGCCCTCGGAGTCAACCCAACCTCTCTCCTTCATCAGAACGCCCTGCCGCCCCGCCCACTGGCCCACCTCCCACCCCAGAAGCTTAAGACCAGCCATCTCACGGGCAGCCTGCTCAACAGACGGGTGCAAGCCCGCTCCTCTTTTTGCCAGTGCGTCGGCAATGGCGTTAGCCTTGCGCTCCCAAGCTGTGGTGCGTCCCCTGGTGACGTCGGCCTCCGAGCAATGGGCCTTAGTTTTGTGCACCTGCAGGCCCCCCTCGAAGGCCGCGTGCACCGAAGACCACATGTGGGCCTGGGCGCACCTGGCACTCGTGGAGCGAACTCTTGACTGCGAGGCCCGAATGGTCGCCGCGCAGTCCGTCCAAACACACTCAGGGGCAAAAGCGATCTGGCCGAACATGAGGAACGCATCGTCATCGCCGTCTTTGGCGAGCTGGAGAGGGGCCACCTCCCAGGGGACAGGGCCGAAAGCTCCAGCCAACAACTCCCCGGCATCGTCGACCGAGATCACCGCCCACCCCGCTCGCCTTAGGAGCGGGTCCGAGGGGGAAATCGCATAACCATCGGTGAAGATTCTTCCACGCAGAAGGCCGCCCTCGGGCCTCCGCACCCGGGACATCTGGCAGCCTTGGGACCTCAGGGGCGCGGGGGCCTACTCTCTGGGAAAAGGGAGCAACCCAAAGGCAACGCACCTCTCCAGGGTCCTTGAACTCCCGAAGTTGCTTGGCTGCAGCTAGTGCACCTTCCGACAGGAAATGAGCGCGATCTGCCGCCCATGCAGCACAGAAACCTACGATGGTACATGGTCCGACATCTCCCTGGCAGCCTGCTGGGCAATCATAGCAACTACCGTTGGCGACAGCCTTAGCAGGTCTATCTGCTCACCTGTTGCCAGGACAATGAGGCGCGCAGATCTCGCTTCCCGCCCCAGGTCTCCGCAAGCTAGCGCGAACACGTGGGCAGGCGACGTCGCTCTAGCCCACGGGCGGCTGGTGGAGGCAAGCGATCGCACTGCATCCTCAAAGACGGCCTGCAAGATCGCAATGCTAGGGGGTCCCTCCCAGACAGTACGGGCCCATTCGAACAGCAATGGGGGGGCGGGGTCCATTGCTTTGCCCTGCCTGAAAGCGCGCAGCCTTAAACCCACCGAGACCCCTTTCTTCTCCGGCGCCAGCGCCAGCAGGGCCTGAGAGCGGATCCATTTCAAATGCGCCCACGGCAGCCCCCTCACAGACGCCCCCCCACAACGCAGAAGCCTGCGGACCCGCTCTCTGGATGTGCCCTACATGCAGATCCGAACCCGAGCGGAGGCTATAGGGGCAAGCCTAGAGGATCCTACCTGCCAGTCAGCCCCTAGACTCCGAATCACAGCCTTCCTCTGGAACGAGGCCTTCCAGGCACTCGCGAGCCCCTGCGCGACCCCTTGCGAAGAGGCCAGGATCTTAAATTTTTCTCTGAGACCACCAGCTGCAGGCGCTGCAGACCCGCGATGATCTGGCCCCCGACGCCGCCGAGCTCCCTGACGACGTGGAGGCTGGTGCCGACCACCTGCACGCGGATGTCATCGATCACGTTCCTTACCATCGCCGATGGGGTGCTCTCGCTCCACCGAGGCCAGCAGACGGTGCAGCAGGACGCGTTAGGCTCGTCGCGAGGGGGCAGCCCGCCAGCACCGTGCCCGAGGCGTGAAAAAAAAAAAAAACATGGGAGACGCATCCCAGGAAGCTCACCGCTCGCGGCCCCGAGTAGAGCGAACAGGCCGCACTGCAGAGCCTTGTCGGGAATCACTGCCTCCGCCTCCGCAAACAAAACTGCATGTGAAATACGCTCGTAGAACTTGTCAAGGTCCGTGGCCAAGGTGCCTGACTGCATGCCCTTGGCTCTAGCATAGTGCGCCAGAGTCTGATGCACCCAGCCTGCTCTGTCACATTCACGGTCTCGAGCTCCCCAGAAAACTCCTGCCGCATGCTCTTCTTCCCACAACTTGGCCATGCCCCTCCTGACCTTGCCCCACAATCTGAGGATGGAGCAGATGAGGGCGATCGGCCTGACTCCCGAGCCATCGGGCTTGCCGATGAAGGCCATGAGCGCCGGCCACTTGGCCGACAGCTGGGGGGCAGCTTCCCATCATCATCAGGTCAACTAGCCTCTCTATGAAGTCGTCGCCGAGCAGATCGAAGGAGCGCGGGTTCACGCAGTCGGTCCCCAGGCCGACCTGGTGCGAGAAGGAGCGGCAAGCCGCGCGTACGCGCTCCACCGTCGGCCTCTCCAGCGGCTCCTGATCCGCCGCCGAAGCTTGGATGTGGGTAGTGTTCTCCTTGGCATCCCCCCCAGTACTTCAGCCACTCGTCGTGCGTCGCCTGGACGGCCGCATCGCCCTGGAGAGGCCAGCCCTCTGGCGCCGTCGGGCCACGTACCTGGGGCAGATCCTTCAAGAATCTGTGTGCTCTGCGCCCTCCTGCCATGACGGCAGCCTGCGCCCGCTCGCGCCACTCCTGGAGCTGCTGCTTGGCCGCCCCCTTAGACGCCTCTAGCGCTGCAGCGCGTACATTGGTCGCGAGCTTCTCCAGTTCTTGACCCCCCGCCTCCGCCGTGGCACGTAGCTCGTGGAGGGCCTCGCCGACCGACTCGGACCCTGCGAGCTCCGTGAGGTCAAGGTGGTCCAGCTCATCCAACAGGGCCTGGCGCGTGTCGGCTGAGGTCCAGCACCTGCGCCCTGTCGTCCTCCTTGACTGCGGCGTCGTAGTGAGCTCCACTGCGCTGTTCGTCTCCTCCTTTGCCTCGGGGTGGACGCTGAGGGCGCTGGCCAGGCTGCGCTCGGCAGCAGTGGCGGCACCGTGCTCGGTGACGTGTAGTCAGGCAGGACAAAGCCCATCGTCGCGAGGGAGACCTCCTGGGCCTCGTCCGCTGGGCAGCTGTCCGTCCGCTATGGTGCGGTCCTGCAGGCCTCGGAACCTGGACAAGAAGGCGTCGAGTGCTCTCCAGGCTCTCATCTGTGCTCCGTTCCCCGACATGTCAGCCTTCTCCATGGCCGTGGACAACGGCACCTGCTTCTGCCCAAAGCCTTCCGCCCTGCCTACGTGGCCTCTCTGCCCAGCTCCCGCTAGGTCGAACTGGTTGCAGAGCTCCTGCTCCGTGTTGGCAAGCCACTGGCACCAAGCCTCCTCCAGCAGCGCGCCCTCTGGGTCCCCGACAGGCCAAGCCCAGACATGCTCCGCGGGCTCCCGATGCGGCCCCATCCGCAAGCCAGTGGGGAACGGCCTCCATGTCCAGCGCACATGTATCGGGACATTGAGCGTCGGCCCCTTGCGCTGCATCGAGACCGACGTGCGGTGACGAGGGCGCGCCGTAGATCGCCCTGACATCGCTGACAAAGTTGGCCAAGCCCTGACTCACCACGAAGTAGTCAATGGTGGACCCTTCTTTGGACGAGAAGCATGTCGGCCCCGACGGGGCCACAATCGTCCCCTTCAGCAGCTCCACCAACTTGCGCAGCTTCACGTCATCGGTCGCCAGGTTGAAATCCCCCGCCAACACCCACGGAGGCCGCGAGCGACGCAGGAAGACCCCAAGCTGCTCCAGCATCTCCCCAGTGAAGCACTTGTCCCTGGCGCCCGCAAAACCGTAGACCGAGGCCAATAGCAGCCCACGTGGGAAAGCCATGTTGCCTCTGATGACCTTGACCCTGGCATAGTCTCTCATCCCTGTGTGGCGCGACCCTAGCCCTGCGAAAGCCATGTGCGACGCAACGGCTGTCAGAACCCCGCCCGAGCCCTCGGTGGCCAGCTCGCCTGTGGGTCTGGCCCTACCAGAAGCACCATGATATCCTCTTGCTCCGAGCCAGCCTGCAGCACTGCGTACCTTTTTCCCAAGTCCTTTATGCGATGTTCCTGGGCGAAGCAGACATGCGGCCTCGCCTGGTCGCCCCAGCTTCTCTGCAAGTCCAGCGCGCACTGCCAGGAGCTCCAAGCGTTAGCATTGAGCGACCAGAAGCGCCGCACTTGCTGCTCACGTGGTGCACGACGCATCCGCCCCCGTGTTGCTCGAGACTCAGCCAGCATCGGCTGCTCGCAATCGACTCTTGAGTGGGCCAGGCTCGAGGGGCACCTGACCCCCGCGTTCTGACTAGCTGCACTGCTAGGGCCAGGCTCGAGGGGCACCTGGCCTCGCGTTCTGACATCGCATATCTTGCCGATTCCAGCAAAAGGTTCGGACGGGACGGCCTCCGCGGACTGCAGAGGCCGATCGCAATTTACTCCACTGTTGAGGCCAGGCTCGAGGAGCACCTGGTCTCGCGTTCTGACATCGAGAACCTTGCGGGGTCCAGCAAAAGGTTCGGACGGGACGACCTCAGCGAACTGCAGAGGCCGATCGCAATTTACTCCAGAGGCCGCCAGGCTCGAGGAGCACCTGGCGACCGCATTCTGACGCCTCGAAGTCCCAGCGCAGGTGGACATCGAACTCGGCAAGCCAGACGAAGAGGGGCCCCTGGCCGAACTCCTCGAGCTGGGCCTCGTAGGCGAGGAGGGCCCTGCCGATCCAGGCGCGGCAATCGACCTCCGCTCGACAGCGGGCGAGACTCCGCTGGTGCAGCGCGGCGCCGAGGGAGCACGAGCTCCGCGGCCTGGTGCCTCCAGGGGTCTCTCGCCCGCAGTGAGTATCGGAGCATGCGGCTCGCTGCGCTGCCCCTTCCAGCAAGCCCTCGCACGGCGAGGGCTTCGCTTTCTCAGGGGACGAGCGTGCGTCACCTGAAGACCTGGAAACCGGCCTCGACCTACCCGAAGCAGAAGTCCCTGAGCCGACCTCCTCCAAGAGGTACCTCCTGATCCGAGGGGCGGCGTCGGCCATGGCCCATCGCTCCGCTTCCGTGGTGAAGCACTGCGCTGGACGGGCAGCAGGCGCTGCGAAGCACACATCGGGCCACTCGAGGTCGATCGCGTTCTGCTGCCACAAGAGTAGGTCCGATGGGATGGTGGGGCTACCCCAGCTTGGGCCTCTTGGCGAGTGAGCCCAGACTCTCCAGCAGGCGCTTGAACTTGCCATCGTCATCCGATCCGACCTCGAACCCCGCTGCGACGAAAGCCTCGCGCAGCGCTTCATCTCCTGGATCAAACTGCGGCGTCCCAGGGGCCTGCGAGGTAGCAGCTGCAGCGCCGCCAGCGCCAGCAGAAGCCCCATCAGGCCCAGTAGGACCCCCCGCTGCAGGGGGTTCCTCGTCCATGGCCTTGGGGATCTTGGACGCGAGCTCCTCCCGCTTGGCGGCGGCCTGAGCGAGGATGCCGTCTGCCTGGATGCCGAACCTGCCCCCGTACTTGCGAAGGCAGTTCCATGATGTCCAGCATGGCCAGCTCGTGAGCAGGGTCCGCGGCGGCGCCCTCCGCAGGGGCCTCAGGCAATACACACTGTGCCTGGGCCTGCTTGATGTGAGACTCCAGCTCCGCCAGGCTCCCGCGATGCTTGGCCAGCTGGTCCTGCTCCGCTTCGTAGGCAGCACGCGCCTGCCCAAGACGACTCTGGCTGCCTCCACTCGGGCCTGAGAGCCCTCGATCTGCTTGATCTTCCGTTGCTTACGCTGCAGCAGGTCCTGAAGGCTCTTCGACCCCAAGTCCACAGGCTGCACCTCCTCAGACTTCTTGAGCACCGACTCCAGCTCTGCCGAAAGCTGGCTGCCCTTGGCCACGCCCTTTGCCTGCAGCAACTCCACGAGCTGGGAGACTGTGAGCCCGCTGGGCACGGTGGGGGGCGCCCCGCCCTTGCCTCCGAGCTTCGGCGGTCCCTGGAACCAGCGGTTGGGGCCTGGCTTGGGCCCACTGCCGCCGCTCTGCGACTGCTGCACCTGCTTCTTTTGGGCGTGGAGGAAGGCTGCAGGTGCGCGGACACCACATTCGCGGCACTGCGACCTGAAGTGGTAGTTGAGGAAACCGCATCCACGGCAATCCCAGGACTTCTTCTGGGTTCGCCATGGCACGTCATCCTTGGTCATGAATGAAGGCTCCGACCAGCTGCGCCACTTCCAAGTGCGCTGGTCGAAAGGTCGAGAAAGCACAAAGCTCGAAACCTGGAAATGGCTCAAGAAGCATCCAAGATGGCCCCGGGACGGCCCAGAGAGGCCCCCAAGACGTCATCCGACGGGCCAGGAGCCCACCTAGACGGTCGCAGACGGCCCTAAGATGGCCCAAGAGGCCTCCAAGAGGCCCCCGAAAAGCGCCCCAAAGCCCCCAAGAGGCCCAAGGAGGCCCCCGAGATGCCCCCAAGAGGGCCAGGAGGCCCCAAAAGTGTCCCCGCAAGCTCCCTAGATGCCCCCTCCTCCTCCTCCTCCTTCTCCGCATCCTCCACCTCCTACTCCTCCGCCTTCCGCCTGATCTTCCCCGCCATCCTGCCCCCAGGTGTTCCCCGAAGAGGTTCCACGACGGTTGGGGGAACGCCTGGTCCGATAGCTGGGCGGAGCTCTTGCCACAACGCTCGGCCACATGTCGGAAGCCGGGGAAAGGCTGCTAAATCCGTGGCTGCTAAAATCGACCTCCGTGAGGTTGTCTTCGTCCTTCCGGGAAGAAGCCCATTGACTGTTTCGCGTGCCGCGCCTCATTCCGGGAAGTTGTTTTTTCCTTCCGGGAGGGCAGTTTTAGCAGCCACGGTTTTAGCAGCCCTCGCCCAACTTCGGAACATGGGCGATTCTAGAGCGCCAGGGGGCGGCGGTGAGTCGCCGTGGGCGCCTTCGATCAGGCCACCGAACGGGGGCCTCGCCACTCTCCGCTCCCGCGGGCTCCCACGAGTTACCTTCCAAATCGGCCCTTCGACCTCCCCTTCCCTCGCGTATGCCCTCCTTTCCCTCCTGGCTGCCCTTGCCTCACGTATGCCCTCCTCTTCCCTCCTCTTCCCTCCTCTTCCCTCCTCTTCCCTCGCGTATGCCCTCCTTTGTCCTCGCTCCCCTTCCCCTCCTGACTGCCCTTGCCATTCTCCGTACCTGCGGGCTCCCACGAATCACCTTCCAATCGCCCGTCCCCTCCTCTGCCCCCACGTCACACCTCTTTCCCCTTTCTCCCCATTCCTCCTTCCTAGGAGGTCCTTCGTCCTGTCGCTAGGCACGTGAAACTGCTTCCCCGCGCTATCCCCCCGTTGACCCCCCCCTCATGGGCGGATAGAGGGCTCCATGATGACCCAAGAGGGCCACGAGACACACCCAAGACGGTCCAAGACTGCCCCGAGTCGCTGCAATATCGTTTCAAGACGCCCAAGACGGCCTCCAAGCGGCCCAAGATGCCCCCCAAATACCCCCAAACCCATTCTCTCGCTTTCATCTACATCACCATCACCCTCGACGCCCCCCGACACCATAGAAAACAATTTACACTCAGGGGGGTCAGCGGATTTGGTATAAGCCCATACCATACAATTCTGAGACAAGTTGAAACTTCGTGGGGAACTCTTTCAGGTCGACTCTGGTATAGCGCCGACGGGGGGGAAGACACATCGCATAATCTCGAACATGTCGGTCCCGTCTGCTAAGTCGAAAAATTCAACTGGCACGTTTGGCCCCATCTTCCTGTGCTCGCCTGGTCCAAACTCAACAAAAACGACGGTTGCATATGAACTACCAATCCCAACGCTCGAGAAACCGCCCGTGTCAGACACCATGCCGAACCGTCCATGGGGCATGAGCCTCATCCGCACCCCATTACATGGCCACCTGCTGCGGAGGCACACCCTCGCATATTCGCCGACGGGCCAGCAACTGCCTGGGAGAGACCGGCGGCGGGAGTCCTCGAGGGCGACAGGCGCAACAGGCATCTATCTGATCCCACTAGCCCGTTGGGTGGTCTAACGACTTCATTCTCTCGTCTTCCAACTACCCTCTTCCCTTCGGGGAGGTTTACCTCCCCCCTCCCTGGGTCTGGACGGGGAGGGCGGAGGGGTTACAAGGTACAACGTCCAGGATGGCCCAACATGGCTCCATGAAGGCCTCCGATGTTCCAAGATAGCTTCCGACATACCTCCAAGAGGCCCGACGAGGGCCACAACACGGTTCCAGGTGCTCTTGGAGCCCCCTCAGGACAGCCCCAAGAGACTAACATCTTTCAAGCACCGAATGATCATCGATGACTTGTGCCTTCTAGCCTTTTCGCTTCTGATGTGCTTCTGAGGCCTTAAGATGGCCCGATAGAGGCCCACGAGGGGCCCAACAGGCCCCTCAGACGGCCCCAAGGGTGTCCACGAGCGGCACAAGAGGGCCCCGAAAGATAATAGTGATGGCCCCAGGGGGGGGGTCGTACATCGCCTGACCCCCCTCCATCTTCATATCGATCGCCTCCAAGATGGCCTTAGGAGGCCCTCCAAGGCTGACACACGAGATGCGCAACATCAAGATGCATATGTCCTGGCTGCCAGAAAGCATGCAAGGACTAACCGCCGCCGGGGACGGCTGCAAGAGGGAGGGCCCAAATAAGGTGCCACGACGGCCCCAAGAGCGCCCAAGAGCGCTCCAGGAGCGTCCCACGAGGGTTCCAAGTTGCGGTTTGCCTCCTCCTCCTCCTCCTCCTCCTCCCTTCGCTCCACCGCGGGCAAAAGGAATGTCCCGACACGGCCCTCCAAAGCCACCCCCTTGTTCCCAGAGATCTCTCTGTTCATCCTGGCTGCCCGCTTTGCCTTGCTATGTGTGTCTCTTCGCCCCTTGTCCCGCCAACTCTCCCGGGCAGCGTTTCCGAACGGTCTGGTGGGAGCACGCGACGTGTGAAGACTTTTACTGGTCGCCGCGTGGCCCGAGACCCCGCGGAGACCTCCGAAGGCAAGTCGCCCCTCATGCCGCGCATCCTGGCTCGAGCGAAGCGGCTGGCGATCGATCGATGCTGGCCGTGCAGCTCTCCAGTGTGGGCTCTCGGAGCACACGCCGCTTCCCAAACCACTGATCAGCGGGCGCCTCGGGCACCTGGACGTGGGGGCAACCTGGGGGGAGCGGGACCGTGGGAGAGGGGTGGAGGCTGAGGATCCTGAGCTGGAGAACAGGAGTGACGGGGGATGGAGGAATTAACTGTTTGGTAAGGTGATGAGGAGGGCCTCGTCTTCCTCTCCTCGAGTTTTGCGTGCTCCTACCCGCTGCCCCCTGCCCCTGCTGCCGCTTGCCCACCTTCTGCCCCGTCCTCCTCGTCGCCGTGGTCATCGTCGTCGTTCTCCTCCTCCTGCTGCTGCTGCTCCTCCTCCTCCCCAGTCCTCCCCGTCGGCCCCGTCCTCCATCGCGGCTTCATCAGCAGCAGCAACGT